TGGTTGTGTAACGATCCCGATAAAGGTCAAAGGGCACAACATGCAAGTCTCATAAAGCACGAGTTCTTAGAAGTATTTGCTTCCCTTCCTCACGCTGTCACGCAGAAAGCCCACTATCAACATCAAAGGTGTGTGATGAAAGGAGCGAGGGGAGACGAAACAAACCAAGGTTACAGAGCATGACATCACTCGGGCCGCTAAACGTGGATCCAGCTCTGCACTCCACACTTTGTGCACGTCGGAGGCATTAGAGAGAGTTCAAAGTGAAGCTGCAGAGCTGCTCTGAACCTGACTAATCATTCTCTTTGTGTAATCTCATCATATGATGGAGATGCAGGAACACCTTCAGATTAGCTGGAATTGGCCTCATTTCTGACACACACACACACTTTGTACTCATAAGTCCCATCAGACTTACGAAGGGTAAATCTGAGCTGTGCGATCTGTTAAATCCAACTCTTTGGATTTAACAGATATGCAGGTTTTCCCGGTGTTCCCGCTCCAAGTGTCGTTCAGGTTCAGCAGCCTCGACGTCTCACAGCCGCAGGACTAAACTCTCTCATCATCTTTTCTTTGGCTTCATCCTCTTTGACACAGAAACGTCTCATTTAAACCTAAAGAAACATTAAAAATGCCGCCAGCATTTCACTTATGAAACTTAGAGTGAACATGCGTCCTTACACCGGCTGCTTCCTGCGTGTAGTCCACGACAGCGTCTGTCACAACAAGCAGCAGTTAAACTGTGTTTGTATGGGTCAGTTCTGTATTTACATAGACACCCTGCTGTCTGCTGCTCTTTCACTAACAGCTCAGTGTGTTAGTGCACAGACCGGCTGAACACAGGCGAGCAGGCTGACAAAGCCTGAGCTGCACAATAACAATGTGTTTGGCTTCAGCAGCTGTAAATGCTGTGACACAGACTCATCTCTGGCTTCTTCACTGTCTCTGTATCCACACAGAGGTCTAAGTACAGGAGGTGAGGTAGAACAGCTTTAACTAGAACCATGAAAAACATAGAATAACATCAGTGATTAAACTCACTGTGAAGCCTGTTAGCAGTTTAGCATGACAGCATGGTTCAGTCTCTCTGTATCAAACCTGATATCCACTAACCTGCGCTCCCTGATGCTGGGCCTCAGCACACTGAAGGACAAAGCTTCCTGTCAGGAACGCTTTGAGCACAACAACGAGCTGCAGGTGTGACTTGGCCTCCTGTGCTGGACACGCCTGATCTGTGGAAGCCCCGCCTCACAACTTAGCATGATTTAGCAGGTAGTCATGATGCTTTGCCTGATCAGACTCCAGCTTCCTCCCATAATCCAAAGACATGCAGTTAGAGGTTAGGATAATGAACGGGTTCATATGGGTGTCTGTCTGTGTGCTGGCGTGACTGCTGACCGCTCCCCGGGACGGATCCACCCCCTGTGAGCCTGATGAGGATGATCGGTGTCATCCATCCACCCTCAGCATTAGTGCTTTTCACCACGCAGCACCTGCATTATTCACCAGATCTGCCTCTACATCACCTATGAGTCTCCAAGATGAGTAAATGAGAACAGCTTTATACAGCGACAGAGCAGCACTGTGTAACGTGCACGCCGACAGCAGTGCACGAGGAGATGATCCTGAAG